ATGAAGCGTAGTCATTCTCGTGCTGCTAGTTGACATAATGTTTCATCATGCTTCATCCTTTCTCGTCGTTCAGCGTCTTTCACCGCTTATCCAAGGATATCTTTGTTTTTGTCACTCTTGGTCAGGTTTCTTCACTGTTCAACCGGTGTCATCATATTTCATACATTCCTCATGTTTACCATGTTCCGTCATTTAGTCATTCATCAATTTTTTTGCCGGACGTTTATGAGATGTCAGAATTTTCACTGACATTTCAACACGTTTCATGTATTTTCTTGTTTTCATTTGTCATTTTATTTCTTCATGCTTCATCATCTTCCACATATTTCATTACCATTTCTCGGCCTTTGATCAGCATGTTTGTCGTTTCCTTCATTTGTCATTATTTAAGCATGTTGATCCTTATCTGTGTTTTTGATCCTTCGAAACCTCAACTTTCTAGCATGACTGAAAGCCCCAATGTTGAGCCTCCCGTTGTTTGATCCCTATTCGTTTACCCGATTGCGATCACCTGAACAAAAACGCATGCACTTAGTAGATTCTGGCATCAGTCATCCATGGCAGCATCTCCGGTCAGTCCGGCCTTTTGTGGACAGTCCTTGTACTCTTCCCAGGTCACTGCGTTCCCTGGACTTGCCGGAGCCCAGCTGTCATGCGGAAGCCGAGGCAACTTGCAGCCTTTTGGCAAATCAAAGTGTGCGCGCAGGCATCAGCCGCAGCCAGGGCTAGCGGCTAGCAGTTTGAAGCGTCAAGTGGCAAGAGATGGGCCATGCAAGCGTGGTGAACTTGGCCACACTTTTTTACCCGTCCTTGCTGGCAGGTGCTCTACGACCCCACTTCATGCCTGCAGGAGCACAGCCCGAAATCTATTGTAGCACCGATCCAACTGCATCAAACGCCCGCCAAACCATGCCCTCGGCAAGGAACAGGGATGGGCAGGCTACATCTACCTGGACTCCGCAAGGGCCAAGAAGACCATCGCCAGGCCTTAGATCAAAGCACTGCACCTGCTAAGCTGTCTTGAGAAATATTTTCTGAGCTTATTCCCAGCCTGTCCACACGCTTCGCAAGACTCCCAGTAACCTCATCGGCTGGGCACAGCTCATGCTTGCTGAGCTTCAGCAGCCTTTGGAGGTATGAGACACGTCGGTGGCAGGGGCATCGCCTGAACTCCACTCCCTTCGAGATCAAGTCAATTCGTCATGGCCTCATGTTTTGAGCTGTGCCTTCGAACAGCTTGAGCAGAAGAGTCTGGTAGGAGATGGATTTGTGGCTCCGCCGGAACCACTGGACGTGCTGGCAGGTTGGGATCTGGAGATGTCAGCAGATGAGAATTGCGTTTCACGCTTCCCTGCAAGTCTCCCCGCTTGTCGGCAACTGCCGCGATGTGGCCAGAGTCCAAGCCATCCAGAAAATTTCTGGTCTGGCGGCCTCCGCACCCTAGTGATGTGGTTGGAGGTTGAGATGCTCCGTGCAGAAAGCATGACCGTCGTGCTCCAAGTCCTGATGCGCAGCATTTTTGCAGGTGTGGATCACTTGTGATTGTCAAGCACGGCATCGAACAAACCCAGATCAGCAAAATCGTTTACGTGGCCTTCAATCCACTGCTTCCGCCACCGGTGTTGGCCAGCTGCTCAAGAAACTTTCCCAATGCACCAAGAACAGCGCTGCAGCTAAGGCAGCGCCCAACTTCACGGAATTTCTGATCCGTCATTGGGGTGAGGGTCAGAAACCACGTGACCAAATGGCGCGGGATTACATCGCTGCACAGTGCTCACTGGCCAGCGTCACAGAGATGCTGCAGCCGTTGTCCTACTCGTTGGTCCAGGTGGACACCTTAGATGCACACATCAGAGGCTCAGGTTCTGTCGATACAGCCCGCTTACAATGCTGAGGGCCAGAGGCTAGCAACCCCTCGACCCCTGAAGTCGCCAGCATGCTAGCATTTGCTAGCCAAAGCATTGAAACTTGTACTTGATGGGTGGGTCAGGGTTGTCGGGGACAACAGATGTTTTGGGCAAGCAGTGGCATGGAGGCATAGATTCAAGAGAGCTTGTCCATCCACCGGTAGTAGCATCATCTTGCAACCATGTACTTGCAGGACCTTGTTCCTCACATCCTTGTACCCATAGACTTCGCAGAGAACACTCTGCGCGGGCCAGTGCACGATGTCCAGCAGACTTGCTAAGAAGGTATCGCACCAGATGATGCCACCTTGTCTGAATACAAGCAAGTTTGCCGAAGGTCGAGCACCTCTTTGCTGTTTATGCGCACAGTGCCTTCGCGGAGATGATGCCTGATGAGATGAAGGTGGTTTTTCGTCCGCTTTGCCAGTCGACCACTTGAGTCCCTTCCATGTTTTGCCCTTGCGCATTTGATAGCTTCAGCCGCGGCAGGAGTTCGAGGAATGGCGGCTTGGCTGGTTTTGCTCGCCGCTCTCCCGCTTCCTGATGGGACTTGAGGCAGTGCTTGATGGGCTGAAGGCTTGACAAGAAGTTGTTTGTTGCGGCAAGTCGGCTCTGACCAGGCTCGTGCCAACAACACATCTTGACTAAATTGATGTGAGCCTCCCACAATCACGATACACAACGGAAAGCGACCGATTCAGGTGCCATATCATTCTGTCCCATTAGCCGCTACAAAGGCTGAGTCCAAGCCTCAATGAGGAACAGGGGAAGCACGGCAAGCGTGTGTCGTAGCAGGTCTTGTGGCAAGGCCAAGGCTAGGAAGTCCTCAGCCCTCAGGGAGCCGTGCTTCTCTGTCAAACACATGCTTTCCATGCGCCATGTTGTTCAGACACTCATTCTCAAGTCTTGGTTGCAGCCGTAATTTTGATTTGCGTACAAAGTGGCAGTAACACCTTTGGCTAAAGCGTTGCCCACTTCCGCGGTTCGTGGCGGAAACCTACCTGCAGCCTTTGCACTAGCACAGTCTGCACGCTCATTGCAGACGCTCAGGAGGTACTCGTGGCATAGTTGGATGCGATGAGCTCGCTGTTCATGTTGACACAAGTGTCCTCAGCACGATGCCAAAAGTATGTTTTGGCCTCTAGACTCTCCAGACCACCCACTCTCAGCCTGCATGGTACCGCAAGGAAGCACGTGACAAGCATGCTGTAAGTCACATGTTGTGAGAAATGCCGAGGACAACCTCAGCTCCCACAGAACCCTTAAGCCGATTGAATGCAGGCTTCACGAAAGGCCGAGAGCCCAGACTGCCAGCCCACAAAAGCCAAAGAGGCCTTGCTGCTCGGCAAGCACTCAGTGTACCTTTTAGGTGCCATAGCGAAATTCCAAAGCCATCACACATGAGCTCCGTAGTTTGGGTACATATGTGAGCCGCCCAAAGCACTAAAGACCCAACTGCCGCTCAAAGATCTCTTGTGTCAGCGAACTCTGACAAGTCTGGAAGGTCCCAGTTGCAGTTGCTGAAGCCTGCTCCGATAAAGTCAGTGCGAGTTGTCTTGTCGCCCTATCCTTTTTTGAAGAATCTCGTTTTAGGGACGTGTCACCTGAAGTGCTCGGACACGAACTGCTGCATAAAGAGCTTTTGACTTGAACACAGGCCAGCATTGCGGCGTTTCTGGGCACGAACAGAGAAGGCGACGAAACCATGCGTACCACTGCGCAGTGATTTCGCGATAGTTCCAGAGCCGAAGGATCTTCGGCTAAGTCGAAGTCAGGTTCGAATAAATTAGTCCACCTGTCAATGAGTTCCGGGGCTGCTGCTCAATCTTCAGGCTGCTTCGGCATGTCAGCCTTCATGTCATTTCATGTCCTGAAGTTAGGCCAACGTGGAGCTCATGAATGTTTATGCAGGACCCTGGAGGCCTCAAGTTTGTGGAGGTTTATGGGGGACGGCTCGAAGCCTCTGCAGAGGCCCGTAAAGATTTTTGAGGCCCTGGAGGCTCACAGCTTAGCACCGAAAAAAGGTGAGAATCGCATCGAAAACGACAGGTTTTGCATAGTTGTCGCTCAAAGCGCCTGCAGGTGGGCAGCAATGGCACCGATTGTCCAGTGCCTTTCCGTGGCCCTTGGTGTCAGGCATGTGCTTGCATCCTTCAGACCTGTTATCTTATAGTGCTGTGTCTAGTTAGGAGACACACGTGCAAGGATGACAGACGTCTGTCTGCACACTCGCAGTACTTGGGTACTTGGGAGCAGACTTTCAGAATTTGTGGGTGTAATGCAAATTGCCAGGCAAGAATTGCGCGCTTAATCATGTCAGACGCTCTTCTTGTTATTTGGAAGTTTCAGCTTCAGACATGACATGGGACAACTGAAGCCAACTCGCGCGTGCAGGATGTGGACCGCAGCGCGCAGGACCTTCGCTGAGCCACTTCGCCGCTGAAAGCTTGAGCACAGAGTTCAGGGGGCAGCTCACATGATGCCACGCAGGACGATGCCCGTCCATACCGGGCCCTTTGGCCGGAGACTGGAATATTATGTTGTCGCGCTGCAGGTTCAGTCGGATTTCGAAAATCGCAACCTAAAAGGGCTGCATTCCCTTCACGGGTTGCTATACCGCATGGCTTCTGAGTGTTTCTGACTGTGGCTCGCTTCCAACATTGCCAATGTAGACATCAAAGTCGCGAGGCGTAGAGTGCACATCCACGCAAAACGGCCCCCCTGATGCATGTGCGAAATGGCCTTTGGTGAGCAGTGTGCAGATGGGGACTCGCAACTTCCGGGAGAGCATCAGATTTGGACTAGGGATGCTCAGAACTTGGAGTTCCGCACCCTAGCTCGTAGCATTAGCAGCTGGTCCCCGCTCAGGATGAAAGGAAAAAGCCAGGAAGGAGGCAGAAAGGAACGACACGGCGGGACAGGAAGGAGGGAGGAGGACTGCAGAGCAAGGAAGAAACAGCAAGAAGAAAACTGGCATTAAGGCAAGTTGGGCCACAGGATGATGTGCGTTTCTGCATGCATGGTGTGGACGAAAGCAAATGAAGGCGTTACGGGCAAAGTGTGAAGACGCGTCCAGTGCTGAACATGGGACAGGCTGCCGTGCACTACGTGGTGAATGAGGACTCCCGAAGGACAAACTTGACAGATTTGTTTGGCTTGCCTGGGACCGCGAGGACCCTGAGCATTTGAAGGAGCTGCTCTTTAGCATTCAGAGCCTGGCTTCCCAGAGCTCAGATGTGATGTTCTGAAGACAATCTTCTCTTCAAGCTTTTCTCTTGGAGGTTTCTGGATGCATTTCAACGAACGCTTCGACTACCCTGTGCTTATTTTTCATGATGGCCTCAGCCAGCGAACCCGTGAGCGCATCGTGACCGCCACGCCGACGCAGCGGATTTGGTCACCTGGTCTTCTTGCAGACTGTCTGGAGAGAAGCGTGCTTTTTGTACATGCGACTCATGTTCATGCTGTTTCCTAAGGTTTTTTTCCGTGGGCGAGTGGGTCCCAAGCGAAGCGAAGCACAACCTGCATAGCAACTTCGGAGCAGGAGCAGCCCTGGTCCGTCTTCCCAAAGACCGTAGTCAGGCAACCGAATGTTAAGATGTTTGAAGTGTGGAAGATGCTGGCCTCATGCCAGCTGTCAGACCACGGAAGGTGAGCAGACAAACAAATCCTGTACCATCCTGTACCGGTTTTGAAGCTGACTCTACATGCATCGCCCTTGACAGCAAGTTCAAGTTGCCGTGCAAGCAACACTTTAACACTGATTGAGATCCGGCTGCATCTGGCCCTGTGGCTCTGCAACGCGCAGGATACATGGCTCAATCCAGATTTCGATCAGGCCTGAAGGGGCGCTAGAAGAGTGCCTTTGTGTGTGTGGGTGTGTGTGTGTGT